CCTCGCCAGAAGAGAAGTGGAGTCTTTTAAGGCCCTTAAAAAAACACTGGCAGAACCATAACCAAAATCTAGGACAAACAGTCAAAACCTGTTCAGCATTCCCCCAAGGATATCTCAGAAATCTGAGAATCTCAGAAACAGTGCTGAGGCGACAGAACAAAAGGGAAGGTGGCGCATATGCATGTTGTTTCAATTGTAGGACTAAGGAAGGAATCTGGCTTTATCCTATTTAATAAGAGTAATAGCTGATGTTTACATTGGTTAAAGGTGTACAAAATGCTCTATTTCATTTGATCTCTGTGAGGGATTATATCCGTATTTTATAATTAAGGAAACTGAGGCTCAGTGAGGTTAAGTAGTTAAGTACTTACACCAACATAATCTAACTGTATGACTCTGGTCCTCCTGAAAAGAAGTGAGATACCACCCCGACAGCCTGCCCCACTCAGGCTCTGCTGATGGATCTGGGCCTAGCCGATCACATTAGCTCACAGTTCATTCCAGAGCTCTGTGGTCAGTACATTCTATTAATGAAACTGGCAGTAGGACCCATTTTATGTTAACAGTTGCACACCCTGTTTTGTGAGAAAGAGGCATTCTTAAAAGATTGTGCCTGAGTTTTTGTCAAATGACTCATACTTCAGTAGTTCTGCCCACTTTCGTCCCTTCTTACCCCATGCCCAAACCACTGTGATGCCTCCTCCTAACTGGCCCTCTGGTCTCTTGGCTCCCCTGCACCCACCTATTCTTCATAATGTCATTAGATTAATCTTCCTGAAATAACACTTTGGGCCTATTGAGCCCCCTACTCAAAACTACTGCCTACTACAAAAAGCCCAAACCTGCCCAGCCTGACATTCAAGGTTTCCACAATCTAGCCCCTACTTAGCTTTCCAATTAATTTCCTATTGCTCTTCTAGACAAACTCTTCCCTCGAGCTAGAGTTTTGTTTATCACCCCTGAGCACACTTCACTGTTTCTGATACTTTTCTTAGTCTCCCCAGATGGAAGTGATCACTTCCTTTCCTGAACACCTATAACAGTTTTTGTCATCTCCCTTCCTACAGTAACTGCTGGAGAGAAGAGACCATGTTTCATCTTTGAATTCCCTCCAGTGCCTCCTACAACAGCACTTTGCTCACAATAGGTAGCACATTTCCCTACCCTTTACTGCTGGTGCTCCCCAAAATTCTGGCCTCATCTAGCTCCTCTTTCAACAACAATCTTTCTTCTGGCAATCTCATTCCCTCTCAAAGCTTCAACTGTCTACTCTTTACATAAGTGACTTCCAAATCTCAATCTCTAGGCTGGACTTCCCTCCAGAGCTCTAGGCTTTCATTTCCAAATGCCTAAGGAATATCCACCTGGATGTAGCATGAAGTCAATGGGACTCAAAACAAAGCTTCTTCTGTCATCGCTATTTCTGTCAGGTTACACAACTGTTCAAAACTTTAAAGGTGTTTTCTATAGCTTACCTCCTACAATTAAGTCTTGTACATTCTGGCTTTGTAATACATTTCAAATATGTAGTCCACCCTATTATTCCCACTGCTATCACCCTATTATGGTACTGCCACCCTCAGCTAGACTCTATAGCCTTCTGACTGGTCTTCCTGCCTCCTCTATGCCGTCCCATACCTCCCCCCCTTTAAACAAAACAAAACAAACAGATAAATCAATGCTTGATTAATCTTCCTTCTACAAAGATGAGTCATAATATTCCTTTGCTCACAACTTTCTGAAGGTTCCCTATTGCCTACTTGACAAGCTCCTCGGCTTGGAATTCAAAGCTTTCCCCAATATGGTATCCCTCCCTCCATGTTTCCATCCCTCCAAAGGCACTACCTTCCAGGCAAACTGACTATTACCCAACTTGTACACTTAGACAGTTTCCTATGACTAAAATGACCTCCCTGATCTCCACTCCATGTTTTGGAATTCTGTCCATCTTTCAGGGTCCAGCTAAAATGTCATGTCCTCCATGAAAGACTTCCCATGGCACTCTGTACTTCCTAATGAACTTCCTCATAGTTTGATTTATCTGTCATATCTTCTCTACTGGACTTTATGACTCATGACAATGTCTTATCTAATTCTTGTACAGTGCCCCTTGCATAATAAGCATTTAACTGAATATCTGATGATAGAATGAATATCTGTTCAATGAATGAAATTTACTACAGAGACAATGTATTATAATTCAAAGAGGCCTGAACACGGAGTCAGGAGAATTAGAGTCAAGTTCTGGGTCTCAAACTAGCTGTGTGATTGTGGGCAAAGTCAACCTCTATGAGCCAGTTTCCTCATCTATAAAATGGGGAAGGATAAGAATACTTTCAATACCTATACCTCACAGGATTGTTCTCATGAAAGTACTTTATAAATGGAAATTGTTATTGTTAAAGTAAGCCAATAATTCCTTCAGTAATGCAAGAAAACAAACAAAAATTCCACACTATAAGTTACAAGGTATCTAAGTTTGGATTTTTACATATTGGGTTTTTTAAGTTGTGTACACACTCATAGCACTTTTTAATATGCTAAATTCTGTACTGGGCTCTAAAGTAGCCCCAGAATATAACACAAAATCAGAGAATCACAGCATTTTAGGGCTGAAAGGGACCTTAGAAACTGAGACTTTGATCATAATCAAAGTGAGTTACTACCAAGGTCAAGACTAAAATGTATCCTGATGACCAGTCCAGTGGCCTTTCTGGTGCTCATCATTTAAGAAGTTTACAATCTAAGGGGAAGGTAAGTCAAATAACACAATTTTAAAACTAAAATCAACAGAAAAATCTGTCGTTTCTCCATCAATCCATCAGCCAAGGTTGGTTCTCATTTATTAGATAGATCTAGTCACCACAACTCATTTAATTAGATTTTTTTCTGTGTTACTTCCTATAACATGAATCTAATGAGCATTTTGTAGTGATGCCCTAACTTGAGCAATGTTTTATAAGTCATGACTCCAGTTACTTAGACATATCTACATTCCTCTACTTCCCTTCTCTGAAAAGAAGTATTCTGTTTTGGAGGGGTAGAAAGCATGAAAGGGAGAGTAGTTCCCCTTCATCAACTCCAGTTAGCAGATATTTAGACAAAGAGGAAGACAGTGTGGAGATAAAGGAAGAGTAGTGCTGAATGAAGAATACAACAGAAAGCAGAAGACTCAAGAGATTGAGCATTTTGGAAAGTCAGAAAAATTCTAAATTAGAAAAAGTAACTAAAGACTATATGAGTGAGTGAATAATGAGGCTGCAGCTCTGGTCAGAGTAGGAACCCATGAAAAATAATTAAGAGAAAATATGAGAACACTGGAAGGGTAATTGAATAACACACATAAGAAATTTCACTGGGGACTGACTGAGTCCAATTAATGATGCTCTGATAACACCCTGTAAAGTTAGTGATATGCTCTTAGGTTTATGAAGTACACAGGAAAAAAAGAAAAAAATTGGAGGTTCAAAATAAACCTGAGATTTCTAGCTTTGTTTACAAATCAGTAAGTTCCAGCGAACTGTAGACTCAGAAATACAGAGGAAAAAAAGGAATCTTTACCCAGGAGGAAGACTGAGGTCTTTGAAGATTTCGGGAGTAGATAATTTTGTTGAAGACAGGAGTTGACATCACGGAATTCATAACCTCTTGAGTTTAACTCTGAATCGTCCACTGTTTGTAAGAAAAAATCGAAGACCCATCTATTTAGCTTGGGATTTCGAAATTCTTGTTAAGCCTTGTGCTTATTTCTACTGCTCTGACTGCAGAGTCCTCTAAAACCTATAGATTAAACCTATTTATACCAGGAGTGCCAGGTCACTCTGGCATACTCCAAGCCCACATTTCAGTGTGGCACAAAACTCACAGAGCAATAAGTGAACTTAAACTAAAGTAAAAACACTCCAATTTATTTGACTTAAAAAAAAAGCCCAAACTTGAGTTTTAAGCAAATAATTACATCTGCTTCCCCCAAACCATAATCAAGCTAATTAAAAGATAGCTTATTAGAAAGATCATCATGTGGAAGGATGTAGCAGTTTGATGTATACTAAGAAATTCAACTATGAGCATCTTTTTTACAAAAAAATTAAGAATTCACATTGTTATGGGGTTAAACTTCTGCTTGATCTGAGGGGGAGAGATGGAAATCCACTAGGAATCATAATTCTGAGACTTTTTTTCAGGAAAAAGAAAACTCTGAAAATATATGACATTGAAATGTAAAGAAAAAATATATATCTGAAATTAACCCCAACCATTAAAATTTTGGTTACACAGAATTCCATTTTGCTGGCATATCTCAGAGTAAATGAAGTGTTCTTAATTTGGGTGCAAACCTCACAGAAAGGTTTATTTCAGAAGTGCAGTTCATTCATAGTTCATAGGGAGACAGAAGTGTAGTAGCTGACAGTATTGGGTGATAGAAGAAGTACAGGTAAGGAGAAAACAGCACTGAAAGCCAAGCCTAGTGGCTAGTATATTGGACTTGAAGTCAGGATTCTTGGGGTGCTAGGATTCCTCTGCCCTTGAAATTCTTGTTAACTCCTTTTCCTAAGATTCCCTATGGGACTTCAAGTGTCTGGGCGTCAATTTTCCAGTTCTTTACAAGCAGGGATGTTGTTCATCTCTCCATCAACCAGGGATTTAGTGAGGATGAATATTTACAAAGCACGGAATTCCTTGGTTAAATGCAGAAGCTGTATGTTGCAGTAGCGTATCCTATTTAAAACACTTAAGTCTGTTTAAACTATGAATTGCGTACATAATTGAGTACTAGGAGTAAAAGGCAAACTAGATGAAAAGATTTAAATGAACGCCTATGTTCCATGAGAGTGTGCTTCCTCAGACACAGCAGAGGATGGCTGCTGGGAGAGAATCCAAGGTAATGTGGGTATCAGGGTACACTGTGACCTTGATCCATCAGAAAAACCATCTTGATGGGATGGTTAATATATTAACACCATGGGATATTTTCAAGCAGCAGACACTCAAATGATTAAAAAGTAAAGACATACATATATACCACAGTGTTTGTAATTTAAGGGAAGAAATATGTTAAATATGAAGCAGAAAAGTTGATGAGATCCTGGGATTTTTTCTTTAACTTAATGAGCATGGTATGAAACTTTTTGGTGCCTCAGTTTCTCCATCCCTCCAATGCCAATATAGATGCTATTCCTATTTCCAACTTTACTCAGGAGAATAAAGTGGTTATAATTTGTTTAATTAGTAACTTTTGAAAATAAGAAATCCCAATCCCACAAAAAATATCAAGCATATAGCTTCAGAAAGGCTAGGTCAGAAAGTTCTAACTGTGACTTGTGCCAGTTATAATTCACTAGCTCCTGCCAATAATTAGCTGCTCAGCTAACTATTTGCCATTAAACAATTTACTAATCTGACCACAACTTTTCCAAGTTCTAACCTCTACTCACCAGTGTCAAGTCTCGTCTTGACATGCTGATACTTTGGGTTCTGTGGAATCCTTTTGGTCAGAAACTGTAAGAAAAGAAAAGCCACATTAATTGGGCTAATGGAAAAATGAGGGTAGCAGGAAAGGCGAGAAGCAAATGTTTAGGAAATAGCAGCTAAGATTTTGGGCAGGCAAGTCACGTACGGCAGAGGACACTACAGAGAATGACTAAGGTCTAGCTTTATAGGCCAACAACTATGCGATGGGTTAATATGAAATCCATCCACTTCCCTTAAAATGGAAGGCTTCTTCTCTCTTTCCCTGTTACTGCATGTGTCCAGACCTGTGATTTCATTAGAAGAGGGAAATTCTGGTGAGGAAGCTCCCTCTACAGATGCAGATACCCAAATGCTCTGTAACCTAAAAGTTATAGAAGCAGGGGTTCTTAACTTAAGATCTTAAACCTAAAGTTGTTTTTTTTTTAATTTTGATACCTGTTATTTGAATATAACCTGTTTCCTTTGTAATCCCTTGTATTTTATTAATTTAAAAACAGTACTCTGAGAATGGGTCCAAAAGGTTCCCCAGAATGCCCAGGGGGCCCAGGACACAAAAAAGGTTAATGATAACAGTTGTCTTAGAGAGTTGTCTAGTATACTAAGAGGTTACATGACTTACTGGCCCTGGAGCCACATAGCCAATATGTGTCAAAGGCAGGACTTGAAAATTCAGGTCTTCCCTGACTCCGAGGGTCACAGTTGTCTATTCTCTTTATCACACAGCCTCACTTAACCCACAGTAATCAGTTTAACTTCTTGCTCTTGACCAACCACCATCTAAATACTACTTGTGTTCTATTACAGCTAATGACCCATAAACTTATCACAGTTCATACTTTTCATAATTCCCTCCAATGAGGGTTTTCTCTCAATCATATAAAGGCCCTTTGAGGTTGGAAGGCAAGAAGGCTAAGAAAAGACTACTCCAAGGAGGGTCAGTTATTCTATGAATATTTACTGAGGGTCCCAAATACAGAGGACCCAAAGATGTATAAAGACATGGCCCTTGTCCTTTGAGCACTTTCAGTTTAACAGGAAAGATAAACAGTCATCTTTGCATATCCTATGTATCCCTCAATTGTTCAGCTCAAATAATATCACTTCCATGAAGTCTTCCCTAGATCACATCTAACCAAAATTCCTTCTTTGAAATTCATAATACTGCCAGAATAATTTTTCTTACGCACAGATCTGTCATGTTATCCCTCTGCTGAAAAATTTTCAGTGGCTCCTATTGCCTACTAAATAAAATCAAAATTCCTTTGCCTCATTTGGATTCAAGGCCTACAATAACTTGATACTACTCCAAGATAACCATCTTATTTCATATTATTACCCCCACACGTTCTATACTATACCTGTAATTCAACAACTCTCTGCCCCCAAAGTACTCTGACATCTCTGCACTTACTTATTTACCCTGCTCTCTCTTCCTGTAATACTCCTCACCTCAGATTTCATCTACTGAATTCCTACCCATCCTTTAAAGTCTAACTCAATTACTCCCTCCTCTCATTTATGAAATTTTCCCTCCTCACCCTGGTTATTAATAACCCATCACCGTTGGGACTTCAAATAACAATTTGCTTTATGCCTCCCCTCTCTAGAGTACTTAATCGTAAGATTCAGGGGCAAAAGAGATCACTTTCAGCTGGGATAATCAAGGAGACATCATAAATGAAGATGGATGGCAGGGGCAGCTACGTGGTGCACTGGCCGTGGAGTCTGGAGGACGTGAGTTCAAATCTGGCCTCAGACACTTGATACTTAGTAGCTGTGTGATGCTGGGCAAGTTACTTAACCCCAATTGCCTCCAAAAAAAAAAAAAGTAAAGAAAGAAGATGGATGGCATCAATGCTGAATTTTATAGCATGGAATTTCATTTGGGAGAAAGTTTGCATCCAGTTAAACAGATTTACATTTCCATGATTTTACCACATCTTCCAATATTTCTCACCTAGGCTTCTAATACTAGGACAAAATCCACTAAGGGAAGTGGCTTTTGAACCAATTTAAAAGTGGATCCATTTTAAAAATTAAAAATTACATTCAAAAGCATTTCAGGTAAACCATATTAACACACGAAGTTAAAGGCAGCCTGCTCTAAATTAATCGCTTGGCACACCGTGGTGAAAACAGGAAAGTGCTCAGTCACCGATGTAAAAGGTAAAGGCAAGCAGTACTTTTTGTTTTCTGGACAGGACTGTCATCATTTCCAATGCCTGGGGTGTTAGGTGATGTCTCCCCTATTCCACCTGGAGGAACTCTAACAGAAAGTCTTCCCATCCTCCACTCTGCCCTCATCACTGGCCTCCCTGGAGAACCTTTTCTGCAAAAAACCCTCCTAACCAGTCTCGACGCCTCCAGCCCCTCTCTCTAATGCATCTATTTACCCACGCAGCTCCCAAACGGATACGGCCAAGCACAGGTGTGACCCACGTCACTCCTCTCTCCAGTCACCTCCGCTGGCTCCCTATCACCTGCCTCTAAGCTCCAGGCTGTTCTCCCATCACCCGCTCCTCTCTGCCGCTGCTGGTACCCAACCTTCTGTCTCCCCCTACCTGGGACGCCTTCCCTTCTTACTTCCACCTTTGTAAAGCCCCAGCTCCTTTCCAGCTTCAGCTCACACGGCACCGGTTCTACCTGGAGGCATTCCTAACCCCATCAGAAGATAAGTGGCCCCAGCAAAAGACATCCTCTCCTTTCCTTTCTTTTTCTTTTTTTCTGCCGCACAGCCTTCTCGGTGTCAGTGTGTATCTTGCCCCGCCTCCCCACCTGTACACTGGAGCGTAAGCTCCTCGAGGGCAGGGTCTGCTTCGTTTTCCTTTGTCTCCCAACCCAAGCTTGCGGGATTGGACTGAGTCTCCTCCCTCCCTCCCTCGCCCCGGCCGCCCTCTCCCTGTCTCTGCCCTCCCCGTCTTCCTCTCTCCTGTATACTCTCTCCAGTACCAGCATCACCCCCTCCCCTCCCCGGGGTTCGGGGTTCCTCACGCCGCATCACTCCGGCTCTCTGGGAGACCCCGTCCACCCAACGGCGGAAGTCCCCGGAAGACCACGTGGAACCTGCTCCCGGCCCGCAGGCCCTTCTTCCCACCGTCTGGGGCTCCTCCTTACCTCAGGATCCCCAATGTGTCCTCGGGAAGACATCTTCCTCCAACGGACAGACTCCCCAGCTTCCAGCCGCTACCGACTCCTCCCCCTTTGCTGCCTCTACTCTCCTCTTCCTACCTCTAACCTCCCCTACCGGCCTTCCAATGCCCTCCCATCCGATTGGTCCGGATCCTCCCGCGGACCAACCCTGGCGGCGCTTACTCCTGTTCACACCGGGGGTCAGCTCAGCCCGAGACGCCGCTCAATGGTTGCCAGGGGCAACGCGAGACACCGCCCCGGAGAGCGCAGAGCCGACCTCGGCTTTATGTGCTGGGTCCGCGTACCTGACACGCAGCAACGGCTCGCGCCCACCAGCGCGGGAAGGCCCGGGGAAATCCACCGTGGCTAAGCCTGGGCGCCTGGGGAACCCTGAGATGTCGAGGAAGGGGGGGTTTGGGCTTTTGGCTGACGAGGGCGCGCTCAGAGCAGCTGGCCCTCCCTCCCCAAACGAGGCAGAACACACAGACCCCTGGGAAATTTGCTTTTTTCTTTTTAAAATTAGCATCTTCAGATTAAAGGATTAATTTTAAATGGATTTGCAAATTAATAGCTTGGGACTGCCAGCAACCATCTTGTATCTTAGATCCAAATATTAAGTCCTTACCCAGGTTAGACGTCTCTAGCGCTTTCCTCACTACAACCCTAGGCAGTGGGTAATGCAAGTATTCATGTTACTCATTTTGCAGAAGAGGAATCCAGCTCGGAGAGGTCTGGGCCAAAGGTCTGCCTTAACAGGGAATCAAATTCAGGTCCTTCTGATTCCAAGTCTAGGGCTCTTTGAAAACGACTTGATATTATGGATAGTATATATTATATTCTATCCACCTTGCATTTATTTATCCATTATCTATATATAGTATGTGTACAGATAAAAATATACATATACATACATATGTACACATAAATATATATATACATACACAGACACACACTTTTTTTCCCTGGATATAATGTCAGCTCTTTGAAAGCAGGTACTTCAGTTTTTTTGTCTTTGCAGCACTGGCACATAATATTTGTTGACCGGTTAATTTATTTATTTCTTCTACACCAAACTACCTTAGCTTTAAATTTAATACACAAAATTACTATGACATTTAGCCCGATCTTGATTTACTGCAGATATTATGCTTCCTTGCTGTACCTACAAGTTGACTGTGAAGTTGATAAACCTACATTGTGGAAACAGGGAGCAAGCCAGGGTAATGTTATCTGGGGTGGAGGAGCCCTGGACGTGGACCCTGTGTACATATATGGTCTCCCCACACTTCCTAGTAGAATATAGTAAACTATTATATAATTCACACGATTCAACACCTTTTGTACTTGTTAAAATACTTGAACTTTTCAACAAGACAAAGAAAAAAAGAACCAGACCCTGCCTTCAAGGAGCTTACTCTCTACATCGGAAGGAGGGACTGTCTTTCTTTCTTTCTTTCTTTTTCTTTCTTCCTTCTTTCCTTTCTCCAGCACCTAAAAGTGCCATATACTGTTATGATTTGGGCACATAGAACTGAGTTTTAGTATCTTGCTTCACTTGCTAGCTGTGTGACCAAGCAAAACCCTAATCCAGTAAGCATTCATTAAGCAACAACTATGTTTCGAGGTGCTGGGAATGAAAAATGAACAAAAATGAAACAGTTCCTGCCCTCAAGGAGCTTACATTCTACTGGGAGATGAGGAGAGGTATAAAATGTATAGCAACACATACAAAAATAAAAGGGAGGGGGATTGGTGAGCATTACAAACCCGGAAACTCTGGAAAGACCTTAGAGGAGGTAACAATTAAGCTGAGCCTTGAAGGAAGCTGGGGCTTCCAAGGGGCAGAGATGAGCACGGAGTAAACTCAGTAGAAACAACAAGGGATTTGGAGTCAGATGAGATTTTTCAACTCCTGAGATCTAAGTTCTTAAGTTTTCACGGCCCCAGTGATTTTATTCATAAAATGAAGGCACAGTGTAGCTAACCGGACCTGGAATCTAAGTTCCCTTTTATCTCCAGCGTGTAGTTTTCCAAAATTTTCTCCATAAAGTTCACAAAAGCCAACACCTTTTGTACTTGTTAAAATACTCGAACCTTTCAAAGTGCAGTCAACAATTGGTTTTTAAGGGTTTTGAGGACTGGAAAGAGCATAGGCTTTGAAGTCAGAAGACTTGGGCTTGAACTCCAGCTCAGCTATTCTGTGTGACCTTTTTGCTAATTTGTGTGACTGGGCAAATCACTTTAGCCTTCCTGGGGCTCAGTTTCCCTCCCTGTAAAATGAGGGGATTGGGCTCAATGACCATCAACGATGACCCACCGAGTGTTGTGCCTGTAATCAGAAATACTCAAATTCTGACTCTGCCTCCGATACTTACCAACCTTGTGACCCTGGGTAAGTCCTCGGTCGGCCTCAGCTTCCTCATCTGAGAAATGAGGATAACAGCACTTACCTCCCAAGGTTGTCTTGAGGACAAAATGAGGTCATATTTGTACAGCGCTTTGCAAATCTTTAAGCGCGGTCCCTACCAGCTCTAAATCCTACTTATCACTGACCGTGTTATGATCCTTTGCAGTTTTTCAATGGGGGCTGAGAAGGCATGCCACGGCCTCGCATTTCCCCTAGGTGGCGTCGTCGCTCGGTGACTCGAAGGAGGAAGAAGGCGTGAGGTGGGGAGAGGTGGGAGAGCGGGGCCGCCCCGGCGACGCTCTATCCCCGCAGCTCGGTGGCTCCGCCGAGATCTTGCCCTGGGACGGTGCAAAGTCCGAGGAGAAGCTTTTGGGCTTCTCCCGGGGGCGGAGGGCGGCGCGTGCGCAGGCGGCACCCGGCTGGGGCCATGGACAGCATTAGGCGCGGGGGCTGGACCTGAGCTCAGGTGAGCTGCGGGGAGGGCTCGACGGGGACGACCGCGGGGGGCCGGGAGAACGCTGAGGGCCCCGCCGGGAGCACCCCTGGAACGTTCCCGGGTCCGCGGCGTGATGGCCGGGGGCCGGGGCACTGGAAGGCGGCCGCCGCCCGCGGGAGTCTGGGTGCACTTTGGCCGGAGCGTTAGTTCCAGAAGTCAGTGGGTGCGGTAGACCGCGGGCTTCTGCGTGAGGAGAGACGGGCGCGCGGAGCCGACTGTGTCGTCACGCGTGATCGGCCGCCTTGGGACTAACGGGCTGCTAAGGCCGGCCGGAGCCCGCCTCGAACCTCGGGGAGCTGCTGCCTGCAGGCGGCACCGTAGACTGAGGGGGCAGAAGCACGCCCTCTGCCTGCTCCCTGCCCCCTCCCCCTCCCGCTCCCCTGCCTGCCCCCTGCTCCCTCTCCCTGCCCCCTCCCCCGCCTGCCTGCCCCCTGCCATCTTCCTCCGGGTCCCTTGCTCCCCTCCCTGTCTGGCCCCCTGCTGCCCTCCACCTGCCTCCCTGCCCGCCCTGCACCCTCCCTGTCCCCCTGCTCTCCCCCCTCCCTGCCGGTCTCCTCTCCCTTCCCTCTCTGCCTGCCCCCTTTC